CACTGCTACAGCACTCCAGAAGAATCAGAAAGCTACTGGTTCAATTGCAAATCAGATCAATTGTGTCGACAAGTTTCGTAAAGTGTTGTAATTGCTTTAACGTGTATTGTAAAAGTGTTTGTTGTACAATTAAGTTAGTTGTACTGTAATTTGGCCATCTTAAGCATTTGTTTAACAATCCAGTGGTACAAAATCAAAGGATTTGGGGAAGCCGTCCATGAACGGAAGACACAAGATCACGTAAGAACAAGAGAGTGAAAAAAGTCGATTTTTTTTAGCGGGTTCTCCGCCATCTTGTTTCACTGGAAAACGAGCGAAAAGCAAACAAAGCAAAGAAAACAACGAAAAGCAAAATTAGCCAAAATTATTGTCAGCCACTTTAAACGCACAATTTAGGTAAAATTATGCAACAAAATGCTTTAAAATGTGTTGTCATGTTGAATTAACTCTTCTTTACTTTCGCAAACTTTTTTCTCAAAACCAGTTACAAATACAACGTCGCGTTCTTACGTGATCTTGTATTTTTGGTTCATGAAGTGCGTCCATTAAACAAGGATAATCGTAACAATATGAAGGGTCTTCATCTAAAGTAAAGTAAAGTAAAGTAAAGGGATAAATTGCTTAAATTTATCAGTTTATCCGCATTCTTTCAAGAACGCACCTTGGTATATAATAGCATAAAATTGTTTATTGTTTAACTTTTATGGCTAGTTATGTTTCATTCTTACCTCGTGCATTGTGTCCACTTGCTTGTTATGTGTTCGTAGCAAAAGCGACGACCTGGCAACTTGTCAGGTTTGAATTTTTCTGATATTTATATATTTATCTACTAAAATCGTTTGATAAAGTTGTAAACATTGCTTATATAGATTTCAATACAAAATTTGACAGTTCATTTATCAAAATGAAAAATGGAACACCTAAAGAATACTGACCTTTGAGCTAGAGACAAAAAGTGGGCGTGGCCCGCCCCCTTTTCCGGATTTTAACGGCATTTTTTTTTTTGGGTGCAAGATGACAGGGGCGGGGGGGGAAGGGGATAAACGTGAAATTTTCAACATTTTCATTATATTTAGCGCCGCCCCTGTCAATTTGCACCAAAAAAAAAGATTACCATTAAACTCAGCAGAAAGGGGTGCACCACGTCCACATTTTCTTTTTTCTCTAGCTCAAGGGTCGGTATTCTTTAGGTATGCCTGAAAAATTATCATTTTATCAAGTTTTTCAACAGTTTATCACTTCTGATGAAGACCCCTATTTTTAATATTTTGTACATGGCAATGCTTTATCTGAAAAGCAACCCTTGCATGAACACCAACAACTATTCAAGTACGCCGCAAAGCAGCTGTTTGGTTGTGACAGTTGCCGGCGCCAATTTGCATTTAATTTTTATTTATATTTACCAGCTCTTGGTTTTTGCAAAATATCCGAAAATGGCTGAGAAAAAAGAAAGAGAATGTCGCATGCCATGGTGAGTGACATACATTTTTGAAAAATGAATGATTTAACCATTGCGTATTTATTGTAGGGTGGAGAAGTATAGACCTTCCAAATTAGACGATCTAATATCACACGAGGAAATAATTTCTACAAGTAAGTTGATATGCATTGAATAATGCTTGTATTTTATGTCTATATCTATTTTCTGCCAGTTAATCGTTTTATTGAACAAAAGCAGCTGCCACATTTGCTCTTCTATGGCCCACCTGGCACTGGCAAGACCAGCACGATTCTCGCCTGCGCTAAGCAACTCTATAATCCAGCACAATTTAGGTCAATGGTACTGGAATTGAATGCTTCAGATGATCGTGGTATTGGCATTGTGCGTGGGCAAATTTTGAACTTTGCATCAACACGCACCATTTTCAGCGGCACCTTCAAATTAATTATTTTGGATGAAGCTGATGCTATGACGAATGATGCACAAAATGCGCTACGTCGTATAATTGAAAAGTATACGGAGAATGTGCGATTTTGTATTATTTGCAATTATCTTAGCAAAATTATACCAGCGTTGCAGTCGCGTTGTACGCGTTTCCGATTTGCGCCACTGGCACCCGAGCAAATACTACCACGTCTGGATAAGATTATTGAGCAGGAGAAGTAAGTCTCGACAGTATATTTTAACATCTTATTTGTAAACGAATCTTTTTGTAGACTCAACGTCACCGAAGATGGCAAGAAAGCATTGATGACACTTTCCAAAGGTGACATGCGGAAGGTGCTAAATGTGCTGCAAAGTACCTCAATGGCATTCGATGTCGTTAATGAAGACAATGTATACACATGTGTAGGTCATCCATTACGCAGTGATATAGAGCGTACATTGCAAACTTTACTTTCAACAGAGGGTTTCGAGGAAGCTTATGATGGTAAGTGAAATGAAATTTGCGATTATTTAAAAAATGTCTGTGCTTTAGTTATACCCGCCGAGAAACATTCTTGATTTTACGCAGTTTTCAAAAAATTTGTTTTAATTTATTTGCATACTTTTTAGAAATACACCGCATAAAATCTGTGCGCGGACTAGCATTGAGTGATATTCTGACAGAATTGCATTTATTTGTTATGCGCTGTAAGTTTTCAAATTATTTATGTATAAAAAATTAAGCCACTTTATTGACAAGATTTTTAATTTCAGTGGAGATACCCCCGGGCGTTATGAACAAGTTAGTTATAAAAATGGCCAGTATTGAGGAACGTTTGGCAAAAGGTTGCACTGAAGCGCCACAGACAACTGCACTGATTTCAGCTTTCTTCATCTGTCGCGACATGGTATCGTTGGAGAGTTAAAATTTGCGACAGTCAATATTTGTTATTTTCGAAAAACGAAGTTATATTTTTAAGTTATACCAACGTTTTGATATATACGATTCGATTGCTTTATATAAGAATAGCATGAGCTCCCAAGCCACTATATTCGTAACTTCCGTAATAAAACAGCGAAACAGTAATCACATTGCTACAGATGAAGTTAACAAAATATTGTGTATTTAGGACCTGAAAACTTAAAAAAGGGCAAAATAAAAAGCGAAATAGGCAGGAAAAGGCACTAGAAATCGCAAAAAAGGCTCTAAAAAAGACAAAAACCGAATAATAATCAAAAAATAGAAATAAACATTTATTTTAGAAATGTTTATTTTACAAGTAAAAAGAAAAAATATGAACTAGTTTCATTATATAAAAATTCTGTACTTTGCATCTTTGATTATTTTCTCCTTTCGAATTTTTAACTCACAAAACTTTACAAGATACATTTTGAAGTTTTCTGGCAGTATTTTCATTCGACTTTCGCGAAGAAAAGCCTTGAATGTACTAAACGTGCGCTCGAAGTGAGTTGATACGGCTTTTTTTTCTTGCCCTTTACAATTCAAAGTAGAATAGGCAAATATCTTAAAAAAGGCAACATCAAATGGAATCAGGGAAAGCTAAATCGAGGACATTTTTAATCGAGTATACTCTCTTTAGCAGAACAAAAAGTAAATTTCCATAAAATCTGTTCCCTGTTCATGACTATAACGGTATTCGACGGACGCCATCCGCATTGAAGTCGAGTCTGAAATCGAGGCATTTAAACTAGTATTCAAATTAAAAATGTCCTTCGTAAAAAAAAAAACGTTTTTGTTTTTTAATGTGTAATGTTAATTTCGCGCGTCATCCAGTGGCCACTTCTCCATTTCTTTTAACTATTCATTCTACACAGCCAGATAGTGTATATATGTACATATGTATGTATGTACATTAGGGTGGTCCAAAAACAGTAAAGTCGGAATTGTAATGCTCTCATTCTCTAGAATTTTTCTATATCGAAAAAAGTATACCCCTATTTTTTTATTTTGAAATCAAAAAATATTTAGAGGTCGCTCAAAGCGCTCAAAGTTTTCCATGTATTTTTATATGGGAAAAATAAAATTTTTTGTAGAAATACTATAGAATTTTTGAAAATCAATATTTTTCGATCGGAAAACTTTGATTCTCTTCCGAAGACTCAGTAATAATACCCAATTCTTTATTTAACCATTTTTTAATGCTAACGATTTTTTATTGGTCGCCCCATTGCATTTTTCGGTGTTTTCGTGGGTTTTTGGCGGACCTCTAAATTATAGTTGCGATGAAAAAATGGTTAAATAAACAATTGGGTATTATTATTGGGAATCTCCTGCAGATAAACAGAGTTTTGTGGTAAGAAAATATTGATTTTTAACTATTCTATACCATTTCTACGAAAAGTTGTTTTTCCCCATATAAAATACCTGGAAAATTTTAGGCGCTTTGAGCGACCCCTAAATATTTTTTGATTTCAAAATAAAACAAATAAGGGTATACTTTTTTCGGTATGAACAATCCTAGGGGGTGAGAGCATAAAATTCCGACTTTACATTTTCACATGCATTTTTAGACCACCCTAATGTACATATCTTAAAAGCCACTTACGTTTATCAATCTCGGTCAAATGTTGTTCAATATTCATTTTAAAAAAATCGTTATCTATGAGACAGAAATACAAACCAAATCTTTAGTTTTTTGCAATGTCCTAAAAAATTAAATATTTGTTGTAGGCCTACTACGACTTTCTTGAGGTGGATAAAGTAGCAACTTTAAATCTTTTTAGTCATGCGTTGAACCTAATAGATTGTACTTTAGATTTAAACCCCAGTTAATCTCCCAGTATTTGAGAAAATGTGTCGAAGTGACAGTCCTTGGTCACATATAAATCTGGGTGGTTCCGGTTACGTTGAGTCGTAGTGTCATGATATATATACATATGTCTGTTGTGTTGACGTATGGCATTAATTAAAATAATAAATTTTCTTATTGCTTTAGGTAATTAGTGGTATGCAGATCTTACTGTTAAAAAAAATCATCGGTGAAACGTATTTTTGCATAGTTTTATTTAATTATTCAGTGCAGTAAAACAAGCTAACTATTTAAGTGAACTTTGCACCAAGAACTAAAAGACAGCGCGCTCTTACTCTCTTTAAAAAAAAACCTTATAAACAACAAATAAATAAGTAATTACTAACTTTCGTATGCCAAAAAAATGAGCACCAAAGGGATTAAGAGAGCGGCTAGCTTACGTACAAATAATTCATTGGCTGACAAATTAAACGTTTTGCAGCGTCCAGTAGTTGAACGCGGAACGCCAACAAGTGCGGAAGCATATAAAGGTGTTTTTCCATGTATAGAGAGAACAAACATTGATGTAAATACACTAAAGGTGAATTATACCAATTATTTAAATAGTGTAAACGATAACTAATAGCGAACACTTAAGATTTACGAACACACGCACATTACACGCGTTCTCTTTACTTGTGCTTTTGTGCTCTTTTTTTTTTGGTGGAAGCTTAATAAGAAATCTTGGTATTTTAGTGTCATTTTGCCGGCATCCAAAGGTGATCATGTCACTACGATTCTATTATGATTTGATGTCGCAGCCATCGCGTGCACTGCACATCATACTAAAAATAAGCGGTGCTCAGTTCGAAGATTGTCCAGTGGCGCTGCGAAAAGGTAAGCTGATGGGGAAATTAGTTGCCGTTAGTAGACACATACATACATACATATACATACATAGATAAAAATGCATATAAATGTATGCACAGGTTTTACCTTGATTAAGATTGCAGCTATCTGCTGCTGCTGATATTCACAGCTTATCAGCGATGGTTCGTTGGCCCATGGGGGATGTTAGGGTGTTCGATTATTCGCTTTTTTTCCAAAACCGGTTTTCAAGTTATTTGAAAAATTGAAATTGGAAAAAAACGGTTAAACCGGTTTCATTTTACATAGTTTTCATACAGTGAAAATGCCTACGTTGCTACAAGAAGCAGAACACGAATTGAAGAAACTCGGCCAAACACATAGAAAACGCTTAAGCGACAAACATTCATTTATTTGAATCAAATATGATATACGGTTCCTCCCCAAATAACAGAGGATATAATTTTAAACTGGAAAACCCCTTGAAAACTTGGAAAAACTATATGAAATGAAGAAATCGGTTTGTTCGATGAAAAAAAAACAGTAAAATCCAGGGACTTTAACGGTCATCATCTTTATAATAAACATCAGAATTTAACAGTGCCAATTGGATGTATTTTTCTCTGATCACATTTAAACGTTATTTTATGATTTTTATTTTTTCGGTCATATAACCGTTATTGTCAGATTTAACTTTTTTGATCATAAAAGACTTAAATCGGTCATAAAAACGGAGTCCCCATCATAATGGTTGAAAATGATAAAAAAAAATAAAAATCAAAAAATTACGATTTTGTAGAGATCTAAATATAAAAATCTTGATAGAATGATAGTAAACTTTTAAGTTACCTAGAAAATGCTTCGTCGAGTTTAGAAAAAACATCCCAAGAAGTTTTTTAAGTACGTTGTGGATGTATCAGGGACCAAAAATAAGCGTCAAATACTAAGATTTTTATTTTTTGATCATTGAACAATAGTAATTTTTTTATTTTAATTTTTTCGGTAAGGAATAATCGTAAATTTTTTTTTTGTAAAATTTATTGGTTTTTATTTTTATTTTTTTATCAAGAATAATCGTTGTTTTAAATTTTTATTTTTTAAACCGTCAAAACCGTAGTCGGCAGATTTGTCGACAGAAATAATGATGGACCGGTGGACAAGCCTTAGGGTTAGCAAAGATACCCAAGTTATGCTTTATTTTTCTTAACCGATACTTCATAATAAATATTTTCTTTCGTCGCAGGTGAACACTTGACTGAAGAGTTCAAGCAAAATATCAATCGTTTCCAGCGAGTGCCCTGCATTAATGATGATGGTTTCAAATTGGCTGAAAGTATTGCCGTGTTAAGGTAAGATAAAAATCAACTCAAAGGTATGACACATTTTTTAGTTACATCCCATTTAAAGGTACCTCAGCGCAAAGGGTAAAATTCCCGAATATCTCTATCCGAAATATTTCTTGGAGCAAGCGCGGGTGGATGAATTTCTCGAATGGCAGCACAACACGCTACGCATCTCTTGCGCCCTTTATTTCCGCACAATTTGGTTAGATCCTTTGCTCACCGGAAATCGTCCGACGACTGAGAAAATTGAAAAACTCAAAAATCAAATGGAAGGCAATTTGGATATCATCGAGAATGTGTGGCTGGCAAAAACTGACTTCCTAACCGGACAACGATTGACAGTTGCCGATATTTTTGCGGCTTGCGAAATCGAACAGATACGTAAGTAGGTGACAAGTTGTAGCTGGCAGTTGAAGTTGGCATAAGTCTTTCAACTCACCCCAGTCTCTTGAAATACAAAAGTCTTCCGTAAGCTCTTTCTTGAAAGCTCTTTTGTGTCCTTCGAAAGACTTATTGAAAGATCTGGTAACGAGAAGGTCTTCGCTTTACTCTGTTTGTCTTTTAGAAATATGTTTTCCAAAATTAAACGATATTAAAATAACACCAAGTCAATAAAAAAAAAACATGAAATTATATAAAAAAGAAAAAATAATAATAAAATTAAACGATTTTGAAATTTTTTAACCATAAAATGAAAAAATCAAAAGAAAATTAAATAAAAAAGAAATAACAATTGAAAATGAAAAAAAAAATAAATAAGTTCTTTAAAACTAAATGAAATTAAGAAAGATACTTTTCTTTTAAAAACAGTAAAATCTGAAAATTAGAAGGTAATTAAATTAAAAAATAATAATATGATCAGTTTCTTAAAATTAAATGAAACTAAAAATTAAATTTCTTTTTAAAAAAATAAATTAAATTAAATAAATAACATAAAAATAAGATATCGCACGTTGAATAATATAACGAAGTACATATTTCAAAATACATATCAATTTTGTGGGAAACGCAATCAAAGTTTTATGAATTCATACAGTTGGTATACAAAAAGACAGATGAAAAGAAACATATCAATTATTAAAAAATAAATTCCTGACTATTGAATAAAATTAAAAAAAAGTATTTTTCTTTAAAAAAAAAATAAACAAAATTTAATTAAAAAAGAAGAAAAATAATAATTTCTTTATAAAATAACATAATCTAAAAATTAAGAGAAAATTAAATTAAAAAAAAATCAAAATAAAATAAAAGTTTCTAAAAATTTAATTTAATTTTAAAAAAATATTTTTCTTTAAAAAATAAAGTCTTAAAAATAAATTTAAAAAAAAAAGGAAAAATTACAAACTACAAGTTTCTAAAGAAATAAATTAATTTAAAAAGTACATATATATTTTTTTTTAAACATTAAAACCTAGAGATTAGTAGAAAACTAAATTTTAAAAAGAAAAATTAATTAAAAAATAAAGAGAACGAAATCGTTAAGATTATTTTTTTAATAAATTTGTATATACCCACATTGTTCTCTTACTAGGTTTGGCTGATTATGATGTGCGCATAAAATATCCAAAAATCAAAGCATGGCTAAAACGCGTTCGCGCCGGCTGCAATCCGCACTATGATAAAGCCCACGAAATGGTTTATAAGATAAGCGGCACTGCCCCAAATGCGAAGCTGTGAAAATCCATTAAATTCAAATGCTGAATTTTTTGTTACTTTCGCATGAATAACTAATAACTAGTAGGCAAGTAAGGAAAGAAAAAGAAATAAAGAATCAAAAAATTAAATTAAAATACGCTCATTATTTTTGGAATAGAGTTGATTATGGAGTGAGGGAATCCTTCTAATCTTCTTGGAAGTCAAGCAACATATTTGCCAACATTTTGTTTATTATCTTTTCAGAGATTTCAGACAACTCCGCCTCTTTCAGTGCATCACAATTTCGGCACTCAGCAAAATGCCGTAAAGGCTAAGAAGACCATACTCGATGTGAGGCGTATGATTTGACGCATCCCGAATCCAAGCTGAACCGCTGCTGCGAATAAGCTAAGTTGAGCCATTGGGCAGGCTACGGCCAACTCTACTGTAGCATGTCACAATTCGTGGAATTTTACTCGCATACGTTTTCAATTACGGCTTCAGCGTTATGAAATGTATTTTCTTTTAAATAAATTTAGCTCCATTCAAACACTTCCAGACGTTGAAAAATTATGAAAATAAAAGATAAATCTGATCGTCACAGCATTTTGTTTATTTTGGTTTTGTTGACATGGAACAGCTGTTCCAAGTAGCGCAGCGGTTGCGATGCCACCTGTACTAGAGTCGATAAAGCAGTGTTATTAACCTGTAGAAACTACGTAAATTTGAGAAAATAACGCTGCAAAATTATACAACTTGAGGTTATAGGACTTCTATTACATTGAAGCGCCACAAAAGGCTATATTACTTAAAAAGGAACTTTCAACTTTTACTGCAGATCTGGCAGCACCACCAGCAACCATGGCTGGTAATGTAGCGCCAGCAACATGCCGCTAGCAACTCGGCACTTGCAACATTATCGCAACATGTAGCGCGCGCAACATTATCGCAACATGTAGCGCGCGCAACATTATCGCAACATGTAGCGCGCGCAACATTATCGCAACATGTAGCGCGCGCAACATTTGCTGCGGCAGCCACCTGCTGGGCGGTTCTGTGCGCCTGGTGGAAATCTTAAATGCGTTAACCGCGTTTTTTTTCGCTGAGCCCGCGAGCGCTGCGACAAAATGATCGTGCCGGGGTTTTAGAGGATTTTTCGTGCAGATTTAAAGAAAAATATATTCTGATGCTTTTAAAAATAAATTTCAGTTTTTTATGCTGATTTAAAATACTTTTTATTTTAATTACACGGAAAAAAATTATTTTAACTTGCATTTTATCTCATATGCCCGAATTAATAAAGAAAATGTGCATGTGGGCTCAATTTATGACAGTATAGTTAAAATTTAGCGCCTATTTAAAGATGTTATTCAAATTTGGAGCTCTTTTCCCTGGATACTTTGGATTTCTGCTGAGGATTTATGTAAGCTTTCTCCTTTCAGCAGCTGGAAATGCCTGAAATTAGTGGATTTACATGTTACATATCTGTGTTCGTATGGAAAAGTAGCTTATGTCGAAAGGCCGGCTTTAGTATAATGCGGCATTCCCTTTATTTTCTAAACGACAAGGAATTTTGTGATGAGACTTAAAAAGAATGTTGACTTGCTAGCAGCGGAACTATTTCTTGCACGTTTGTTTGCTAAAAGTTGTTTAACGGCTTAACGCCCGTAAGTCATTCTCAATCGTATGCTGCGAATGCCGATTTATACTAAAGCCAGCCTCTCGACATAAGCTACTTTTCCATACGAACACAGATATATAGAAATTTTGAAAGTTAATGAAGAATGTTGAAATGTCGCTATAGAAATAAAAATGGATATTATGATATTTATGTAATCGCAGATTGAAGTAACGATAATTACTTACTTTAACTACAGAATTGCTGACTGTAACCAAACGAAAACGAACGTTTTGGACCTTCGTCTGAAGTTACCGCACCTAGAAGACTACATAACCACAACAAAAGTTATAATTGTAACTGAAGCGTTTTCCGTTGGTATTACTTTTAAGTCAATTCCTCGTTATTCGACAATTTTTTCACAAAATAAAACCACTATTATTTTTTTCGTTTCTAAATTTGTAATTTCTTTTTTATTACTTTTGATAATATTGATGCGTGTATGTTTGTGTATATTTGAGTGTGCAGCACTCAAGACCTTTCTCACCTTTTGTTTTCACATATGTTTTCTTTTTTTCTTTCGTAATGACAGCTGTTTTGCATATTATCATAATCAAACTTTTTATAGTATTTTTCTTTTATTCATGTTTATGTACTTGTTAATTTTTTTTTTAATTTTTTTAATTACTTCATTTTATTTTATATGTATACGTAATTACACAAAATAAATCCATACATTTATAGGTAAATAGGTAGGTAAATACATATATTGGTTTGTATATATATACGCATTTTTGTGTGTATATGGTGCTACATACAATTTCTACTGTGTTACTTTACACTTAGCGCTTGCGACGCTTCTTCAATATATATATGTATCTATGTCAACTTTCCAAAAGGGGGGAACACAAAATATTGTAAACTAAATTCACATGCATTACTCTCTTTAATATACATACATATGTAATTCAAATACGTTCCTCTTCAATCCCTTAGCTGCCTCAACGCTAGTATCTAACGTTGTTCCTATCGCGAATGCGTTAGCCATAAGCAAAACGAAGATAATACTTAGAAAATAATATATGTATATTTTCCTACCTTTCTTTGTTGCTTTGACCAAACATGAATTTTTGCTAGCATGGAAATACAACTTAAGTTTTTATTCGTAATCAAATAACAGCAAGTAAACCTAATCGCATATAATGCAATTCAAATCAATCATCAAAATAATATTTATAATTAAATTGTAAATAGTTTAATACAAGCATTATTATCATCGAATCAATAATGTTAATTAATTATTATTATGTTACATACATATATGTACACAAACATACATACATACATACATACGTACATACGAGAGGGGTACTTCGTAAATAATAATATATTTATAATATAATATAATATAATAATAAAAAACAATTAAATAATCTGTTTTAAATTAAAATATTTATAGCAACATAACACATACATACATACCAAATACCAAGCTCAGCGAATACACATAACTAATCTCCGAGACTTTTTAAATGTATAATACAATTTATTAATTTTAGTTGCATGCACATGATTCGCGTTTTTAAATCATAATCTCTATGTTTATAATAAATACCAACAATTTTTAAATGGATTCCGAATTACGCTAATTTTAAAGCCCTTACTCAAGCTCGTTTTTACTTTTCCATTAAAGAAATGGTGACAACTCCTAAGAATGTCACTATGTATCTATATGGAATTACAATAGCTTATTCTTTGACTTTTTATCAATTCTCTTTCTCCAAAAGCCGCAACTCACAATGTACAAAAGAGAAATATTAAACCAAATGTAAAAATTAAATTTCTTTAATTGTAAATTTTTTAAACCAAACAACAACGCAAGTCAATTTAATTGTGTAAAATTATTCAATACTTAATTTAATAACACCAAAAATAGCAAAAAATTGCTAATTTAATAACAAACAAACAAACAAAAAAATCGCGCTTTATTCGCTTTGCTATTATCTTTTGAACCTTACTACTCGCCAGCCATACGTATGTACAAACCTTATTTTTGGATTTGAAAGAAAACATCATGTCAAAAAATATACACATATGCAAGTACTTTTCGTATAACTAGTTAGCACAATTATGCGCCCATTTGTGTCGAAATTGGAATGTGAGAAAGTTTTTGTTGAGTTGGAGTCAGTGCGCGGTTAAACCTGACTGTGGTTTGAACTTACTCGCCGTTAGTATTAAAGTAGTCTCCGGGGTCCGTGATTTTTTTTTTTTGCTTTATTGTGGCTGCAAAAGCCCGTCAAAAGCACGCACTCTAATAATAGTTGCGTTCCTCAACTTTTCTGGATAAAACCTGTGAAACTGTTAAAAGGCAAAAGAAGCCAGGGAACCGAGTACGGGAACGCAACTACTAATAGATTTGGAAAAAATCAACTAAAGAAGCGAAAGAATAGGGGAATTCGCTCTTCTGTGTATAGGTACATCAAATACACATGCAACAAGAACCACACGCTCGACCAGTCACACTTAGCAGGATACTGCGAATACACAGAAGGGCGAATTCCACTAATGTGTATTCGCTGTATCCTACGCAAGTGTAACTGGCCGAGCGTGTGATTGTTGTTGCATGTGTGTTTGATGTACCGCTAGCAACAACAAATCACACCACCATGCAGTTACATTTACACAACATTCAAAGAATACACATAAGAGCGAATTCCCCTAATGTGTTTTAATAAGTAGAGCAAATTTTACGACGAACAGGTATAGACTTATGCATGCCAGCACTTGAAGAAAAGCTGAAATGGTCAAACAATGCTTAGTTATGGTGTTTTCTTTTCTATCGAAAAATATTGCCATCTAATTGCAATGAAAAGGCAATCTTTTTTGTAGAAATGAAAACGCCATGAGTCTGCGCACGTGAAAGGTTTTTAACTTATGTCCTATGGGCGCGGTTTGACGGCTGAAAATATTCGTTAAGAGACTAGTAGCTCATTTATGAGCGACTTTTAAAGATACGTATGCCTGAAGCATAGCCTGCGCTATACTAATATTTATTAATTTAAATTTTCAAATCACAAATGTATTTCCAAATTCAGTGCTAACACTTGGAATATAACATATGTACTTGTAGGCGCCTGAGTCCCCTCCATTAAGTTCCCTATCTCAAAAAAAAATTAGAGATTTGACCTCTGTGAGAAAACAACACCTTTTGTTGAGTGAACGAACTGCTTTGCAACACATTCCAATTTCTATCCAAAGGTATTTTTGTCGGCTTTTATGCTATATCGTCACTATGATTTCTTTTTCTTATGCCTATATTTATAAATATCTCTTGTGTGTGCACATGTTTTTGTAATTTTACCATTAAATTTTCTTGGTTTTACGTGTAGGCGTTGGGAGGTGTTGAATCTTTTTAAGTGCATTTACATTTAATATGTTTAGTTAAACAATTTAGATAATTTTCTTATTTTTTTT